TCCGGCGTGAGTTATGAGTACCGATGTTCACTGAAAATTAAATTCCAGCTCACACCGGGATTCGAACTCACGCCTCACCAGTCCCAAGCAAGCATGACAAGCGTTGTACCGCTTAGCCATGGGACTGTCTACTAAATGGTAGCGAGTTTGAATGAATATTTTTAGATAGGGGCAGGTAGTTTTTAATTAAAAGTTGATGAAATTTTTTTTTTATATTTATACCATGATAATTAAGGACGATTTTCATTGTATCTTGAAATATCCTGATTCTGTAAAAAAACATAATTAAAATTTTTTATTTCATAAGCTTTCCTTCATTTGTGTTTGTCATATACATATTGATGTAATTATTAAATCTATTAACTGTCGAATAGTGTTAAAAAATAAATATTTGTTAATCGAGCGAAAAAATATTAATTTGTAAATGAAATGTTTTAAAGCGTTTATTTTAAAAATTTTTTTATTCTGAAAATTAACTACAAATAACTAAATTTAATGTGAAAAATCAATAGAGTTCAGCACTCTACACTGTTTATAAAATAATAATTGAATAGCATTTACATCATTTGTCCGGAAGAAAACGAACGAGTATATACGGTGGAAAGAAGGTGATTTTACCGTGAGTTGACGGTCGAACGATCGTCGAACCGTAGTAGGTCCACAGTGATATCACTATGAGTTTATGAGGTGTTCACTTTGAAAAAATCATTTTTCCGCAGTAGAAGCATGCCATACTGACAACATAAATGCTAAGGTTCCACGAATTACGAACGGTCTTTTCATCATAGAACTGCTGATAAGTCAACATTTATTTACCATCTGTAGTTAGTGACGCAACAGAACGAATATACTGTTTTTCGACAGTGATTTCACCCTACTACAACCCTAACTTGATAGTGAAATAGCCGTCACGTGAAACGACCGTGAATCGACCATCTTTTCACTATGGAGTCACCGCGGATTTACCGTAAGCATGAAACCGCCAGGGATCGTTATATAAATGACGAATATATAAATTCAAATAACACTGATGAAACTGTTACATTGACTTTGAATGTAAATCTCGATGGTGCTCCAATATTTAAGAGCAGCAAAAAAAGCTTCTGGCCCATCCAATGCATCATCAACGAACTTCCGAAGTGTATCCGCCATAAATTCATGCTCCTTGCCGGGTTATGGTATACTACTGCAGAACCAACAGCCGAGTTTATGAATAATTTATATTTGAAATTTTTTTTAAATCAAATAACAAATTTAATGAAAAATGGTATCGAAATAGTAACTGAAGCGGGTAAAACAATCACTTATAATTGCACAATATTTTCGTTCCCAGTAGATTCAGTAGCAAGACCAATTTTACAAAACAGACTTCAATTTAATGGGTTCTACGGTTGCAGTTGGTGTTACCATCACGGAATTTACGACTCGAGGAGTATGAGATATCCTTTAACTTCTGAAAATGTACAA